CCTGTTTACTCTCGTTGCACGCTCCGCGAAGCGCGCCAAGCGCCGGCGCCGAGTCCCATCCGAGCGCGGAACGAGAGCTGATAAATTAACGCATTAATTAATTACAAACCGGGAAAGTAGGGGAAGGGGAATGCGACACTCGATGCGACGGGGATCGTACCCCTGATACGGACGACGGGCGACGGGCATCATACGCAGCTGTCCGAGTTATCCCGGAATTATGCTGGCCTGCGTGAACCTGTCCGCGAATAACGGCCTCCAGTCGGTTCGCGTGCATGGCACGTCGGCGTAGATAGCAACTGTCTCGCGTCGCCGACGCGTCCCGTTTCACTGACACGTGGCGGCCATCGCACACGTGCGCCAGTGCGTGCTGTTCCGAACGAATATGCACTCGCCCGCTGCTACCGTCCGCCGGCGATGAGCAACGAGAAATTATGAATGTCCGATTCGTGCATTTTCAACGGCGAAATGTGCTCGCCAAATGTGCTCTGTTACTTTGAAAAGAGGTTCTTCGTCCTCACGAAGAAAAATTATTCCGAGTTGTCTTTATATTCCCTGTAAATTGAAGATATGACAGAGTCGTAATTCACGGATCATCTTTCGTAATTCTTACTTACGTAAAAGTACTACAATGTAGTAATTCTTTCTTACGTAAAAGTACTACAATGTTTTTTGCAATGATTTTCGCAATAATTAATAAGAAAATAATTAATAAAAATCCATAAATTATGTAGAAAATATGATTGACTTGGACTACTGTGAGAGGAAATGATAGAGTTCAGTATATGAATTTAGACAGGAATAAGCATTACCGCGAACATTTCTGTTTACAGTAACGACACGATCCAGAAATACAGGGAAATTTTGACGTTAATTCATCAAAGGGTAATATACCTGTACGTTCCGCGTTGGTTCAACCATCCCTGTAAATTCGTTGTAAAGGATGCAAAGATTTCTATATTCGAACCCCGACAATCCCGAGCTGATTCCATTGAATAAACATTGTATATCCTATCGACGTAATCCTACAACGGCTGCTATCGTTTATCCGCGCTAGTCTAACAGAATTTGCGAATTTCACTCGTAAAAATGCTCGGTATATTCAGCGGCACTAGTCAATCTCCTCCCATTGAGTAAACGTTATTTCTGTCGATTCCGCCGCTCCGTCAGATTTGGCCTCATTCGAGAGCAACGTGTTCCCAACCGTGATGATTTTTTTAGCTGCCTCGACATTAAGGATGTAAATGGAATTCGAGATTCCCGATTCGATCCCGCGGACGCGTGCGTCATCAATAACGCGTCTAACACGCGTGTTCCTCGTCGCACAGGTGGCCGCACGTTCACGCACGTTCGACGCATCTTCGTGTTTCCCTCCCGAGCATCGCATATTGCGTGCAACCGGAGTCGGGTGCGTACGGACGGACGCATGAATGTCCGATACGCGCTTTGGGGGACCGCCGCGACCGCAGCAGGAACGCACCGCGAGAAGGTAATCGCAGGTTGACGTGTCCCGGAGGTAAATAGAGTGTAGAGCAGCGGCGGCGGGAAGCCGACGGCGAAATTCGCAGCCGCGTCCGTGATGGGATTTGACGCTGTTGCCGTAGATTTTGCACGTCGCGGCTTGCTGCCTCGGATCAACAGTGACGCGACGTACTCTGCGCCGCTTGCCTTTTTCAACGCATAAAGCCGTCGCACTAACAGATTTTATCTTGACGGACGCGAACGCTTCCGTCCCCGCGATTGCGATGTAATTTAACGTCGAGAGGCGCTTAAAGCTTGACAACAAAAAAAAGCGATGTATCTCCAAATAGGATAAAAATAAATGTTGATCGCTATGGTGTTTGGTATAAAATAGAACGTTTGTGTCGCACAAAGGGAGACGCAGTTTCCCTTTTATTTTACATATTAGATTTAATTTACAGATTCGATTGTTTTCACGTTTCTCGTCGACGTCGCGTTTGCATGAAATATCCCTTTTAGCTTTTGCCGTAATTGTTTTCGTGTAATCGACGGTACCCGGTTCTGGTTAGGTAAGATAGTGTTAACAAGCTTTACATAAGCAACGATGCAAGCAACTACCAACCACGGCGACATCAAAGAGAATCCGTGTTCTCCTTTCTGATCCATCGTTGGTAGAACCACCCGCGTACCGAAGACCAATAAAACAACATCGAAGGACGCTAACACATCGTATAATCGTGAATATAAGTGATTTTCCTAGATCGAAGAGACAATGTGATCAAAAGAATCAAATGCGCTTCGACATTCACAAAACTGTGTCATCAAAAAGAATTCTCGACAAAATCTTCAAGATCAAATTTTTATTTTTTGGAAAACCTTTATATGAATGTAATATTTATATAACATTGTTAAAAAAAAAATCTTTAATATTTCCATTAAAATTTACTCCTACTATTAATTTGCAATTGATTAATTCATTAATTCTCATTAGTTTCTCATATCAGAATACTATAACAGATAGTCTTCTATAAGCAAATTTCCTCTTTGCTTATAATGAAGTTACACTTTATCTTCTAAACATTACATAAGTAAACACGCAACCGCTTCTGTGTTTCATCAGGTGCATCATGTACGATCGTCCTGTACTTAGCACGATACCCTTTAGGGTTCCGTGCAATTCTCATTAGCAAACATTACATAAGCAATACGCAAGCAATTGACTACCAACGATGACATCAAAGAGAATTCGTGATTTTCCAACGGAACCATCGCAATGACCCTCAAGAGCGTTTCACTTAACATCTACTATGCTACGCCTAAGGGACCATTTGCTCCCCTCCTCTCTCTCTCTCTCTTTCTCTCTCTCTCTCTCACCCTTTTCTCTATCAGCCATAAGGCAACACTAGTCCTGCGAGAGCTCGGGGATGTTTCTGACCGCCAATCAGCCGGCGGGCGATAATCGCAGCTCGGTCACGTCAGTTAAAATCGCTGTCAATCCCGGCAGTGACTCAAAGGCGAACTTTCCGCGCTGCGGTTGCTGCGTTCGATGTAATAGCAGCAGGGGGTGCGCGGGGGGCGAATACCCGCCAATCCTATGCGCGTCTATGTCCGTGCCGCTTTGCTCGGGGGATACAATGGAGCGGCGCGCCCGTTTCCCGGGG